GAATTATTAGTACCCATGACAATATGGATGAATCTCAAATGCGTTATGCTAAGTGAAATAACCCAGACTCAAAAACCTACATGCTGTATGATTCCCTTTATATACAATTCTAGAAAAGTCACAATTAAGTTGCCAGAGGCTGGGGTGGGGAAAGAAGAGTGAATGAAAAGGGGCATAAGGAAATTTGGGGGGTTGAATAAAATAGTCCATATCTTGATTGTGGTGGTGGTTACAACACTGAATATATACATTTTTCAGTCTGTGGGCCGATGCTCTAACCACTGAGCCAAACCTGCCAGGGCTATATATACATTTTTCAAAACTCATTTAACTAAAATTAAAATGGGTGAATTTTATACTATGTAAATTATACCTAAATAAAACTGATCTTTAAAATTTATAAGCATCAGATGTGGCCAGGTAGTNGTGAATTTTATACTATGTAAATTATACCTAAATAAAACTGATCTTTAAAAATTATAAGCATCAGATGTGGCCAGGTAGCTTAGGTGGTTAGAGCATCATCCTAATATGCCAAGGTTGTGGGTTCAATCCCTTACCAGGACACATACAGGACTCGACCAGTGAATGCATAAATAAGTGGAACAACAAATTGATGTTTCTCTCTCCTCCCTCTGTCTCTCCCTTTCTCTCTCTCGAAAAATCAAGCAGTAAATAAAAATTATGAGCATTATTAGATAGTGATCTGAAGGGAAGGTATAGGCGCCAGGAGAGCATTTAATATAGAGTCCTGAAATCTGAGAAGGCTTCACTGAGGAAGTGAGATCACGAGTGAGGTACTAAGGAGCCCCTAACTGAGCAGGTGAAGAAGGGTGCGATGAGGCCGGGGGAAGGGTGTGCGCAAGGGCCCTGAGGCTTGAATCCTCTTCAGTGCAGCCTTTCTGATAGAAACCCCACTTCTGCTTGCCCAACCCTCACACCAGTGGGTAGTTCACTGCTGCAATTATTGTAATTAATAATCACGACCGCTATTCATTGAGGACTTATTATGTCTTTAACCTCATACTAGGCAATTATTTCTCCTCACATTTACTCTTCCAAATTGTACCCACAAGGCAGATTCAATTAGTATTTCCCTTTTATGGATAATAGCTTTGAGGTTTAGAGAGATGAAGAACTTTGTCTATGTCCACACAGCTAGCACGTAGCAGAGCCAGAATTCAAACTCAGGGTTTGAAACCCCAACCCGAGTTCCTAGACACTGCTCTATCCGACTGCAGTTAGACACGCCACTGGCTCTGCCCTCCAGGCCTAACATCACTACCTTTCCCAACTCTTTTCATATAACACAGTCTCAGCCCCTTCGCTGCCCAATGTCTGTAAACGTCCTAGTTGTCCACATCCCACCTGAAATTCAGCTCCCAAAATCTAAACTTAATAAGCTTGGAAGAGAAGGCTTTGAAAAGTTAATGAACTATTACAATGAGATCACTTGAAACCTCGCTCCAAAATACAAAACAAAACAGATTTCATAACCACATTTAAGGTACAGAAACATGGAGACATATAACTGAGAAGCTTCTGAATTTAGTTTCCTGGGAAACAGTGTAGTGTAGGGGAAAGGGTATGGCCTTGGGAGTCCAATGCAAGTTGGGTATCTCGGCTTTGGCGTTCACAGGCTCTGGCTGTGCAACCTCGGGCTGGGTGTGTAACCTCTCAGTTTCTCACTTGTAAACAAGGCTAACAATATCCATCCTGAAGAATTTTGTGGATTTAAAATGAGAGAATATATGCAAAGTACCCAGCATACAGCTGGCCTATAGTAAATGCTTTTTTGAAGATCTTTTAAAAAGGTCCTAAGCAGTTAGGCTCCCTGGGCTCTGGCAGCTGTGCCTTCCTGATTCTAAGTCTACTGTTCTTTTCCTTGAAGGCTGGACATAATTTTTTCATCTTCCTACCACAGACATATATTAGAGGCTTCACTATCTGGGGGATTTGCTCCTCTTGAGCAGCACATTTTCGTGTGGCTGTTGGAGAAGCCTAGAATGAAAAGTGTACAGATACTTCAAGGGTCTATTTTAAGCTCCCACCTAGTGGCTTTTTGGTTTCTGTAAACTTTGTAAGTGGATGGGGCGCATGTGTACACAGGAAGGGATCTGACCTGCTACTACAAATAAGTACTACCAGGATTTTAAATTTAGGTACCATAATTGAACACCTTAGGGTGCTCACTGGAAGTGGGACAAGAAGGGTAGAGTTGAGTTTTATTGTGCCCAGGCAATACGTCAGTCTTCTGGGCCTTCTGATTGAACACTCAGTCTGCTGGCATTAATTGAGCACTTTACATGGCAAGTTAGCCCAGTGTATGGCAGGATCTCCACCCCTTGTAGCCAAAAGTGTCCCTTCTATAGTCCCAGCTCTGGGAGTCTGTGCTGGGCAGGTCTCTGAACTTAGAGGGATCTGATTGGTCCTATGGTGGATACCTGACCCAAAGGAAGTCCACCCATAGGCTGACCAGTGACCACTGAGGTAATATGGTGGCATGAACTCTAATAGGGTAGCAGTAATTAAATCTAAGAAACCTGTTTCCTCTTGGATTTGGGAGGAATTGGCAAATGGCATGGGGTGAAGGGCTCTCACGTGCAGAGGACAGCATGGGCTTTGAGTGAGATGGGGAGCAGCTTCTGGTTTGAATAGCTTTTCATTCCGAGTTTGTCATTCATTCACTCCTTCACATGTCCAATACTTATTGAACACCCACTATGAATCGGGCCTTGTGATGGGTCCCTCTTGAAATGCAATGTAATCTCTGCTCTCCTGCTATTTCTAGTCTGGAGAAGATGGACATTGATACAATAATCACAGCTTAGCAAATAATTTTTAAGCTTTGGTGAAATATGAAGAAAAGATATATATAGTGAGCTATGAGAGAGAGAACGGGGGCATCTAGCCTAGTCTGGGCGTCTGGGAGGGCTTCCCTGGAGAAGTGAAGTTTGAGTTGAGATGTGGAGGCCAGTAGGAGTTATTTAGTTGGAGAATGAGGTGTAAAGTGTAACTTTAAGGTATAAGGTCCTATAAGGTAGGACTAAAAATTTCGTTCTGAGCTGCCTAGTGGCCTGAGCAAGGAGGGAAAAGGGCAGTCATGAACTTTACGGTGTTCAGAAGATAAACCACCAACTCAGATAGATACATACAGCCTTTCAGGGTATTGGGATCTGGGGAGCATTTTCCCCAGTCCTCACACAAAGGACACCCATGGGTGCACAGGACTCCAGCCAGCACCTTGTTATGAGGCTGCTCATACACTGCTTGCCCTCCTCAGGCCCAGTTCAGGAGCAAGGGTGGACCTGAGAGGGAAACAGAATAGGGGTGACCACACACCTCTACTGTCCCAGATTCCATCTGTGCCTAAAATGTTGCTGGAGGCCAACAGAGGCATTTCTTCAAAACCTGGGATGAAGAAACTGGAAACCACCAACTTTAATTCCCCACCCAGCACTGGAAGCCAGTGCAAAGTTGGTCTTGGCCAAAATGAAGCTGTAATTAACGAGGAGACTGGAGGGATGGAGAGTTACAGAGCCATCCCCAGCTGAGGGCTTCACTTGGCTTACCCTCCAGTGACTCACTGGCTTATGAGTAATTCTCACAGGCCTGATTTAGAGGACTTACTCACCCTTCAGAGAAAGACTTTAATGCAATAAAGCAAATGTCAGCAAGTGGGATGTAGCTTAGCACATCACCCTAGCCTGCACCCAGCTTCCCACTCCCTGGCTCTCCCTGCTTGAGGCCCCTGCCACCACTCAGCACCTGGACAGGCCCAAACAATGGGCGGACGGCCCAGACAGGTTCCAAAGCTGAGCACAAGCTGAGATATGAAACCGAGGAGGGACCTCAGGCATCAGCTAGACCAAGCCATGGAGAAGTTTGATCCAGAGAGGGTGGAGATTAGCTCTAAATTCCTGGAGTGAGGGATGTATGAGGGCTAGAACCCCTCCCTGTCTAGTGTTCTTCAGTCCACTTTACCCCCATGGAAGCCCCGCTTGGATTATGCAGATGAGAGGCATGGGCTGAAGGAAATGCAGTCTCCTCGGTCTGAATGTCATTCTTATCTGAGGGCTTTCCAAGGAAACTGTGGAAAGACATGTCGAGAGCAAGGCCTCAAGCAAAGCCCTTGAGTAAGATGTTTAGAAAGACCTGGGCTGCCTGGCCTCGTTGGACCCTCCAGAATCTAGAGGTATCGTCAGAATCCCCACATCAGGCACCAGCTGACTGGGGTGGCATAAATCCCAGCCAGTTCCTGGTTCCCTCTGATTAGGAAACAGGCCCCAAGAGTAAGACTGGAGTGGAAGCAGAGCCAGCTGTGGGGAGGTCTCAATACAGAGGAAATTACTCAGGAAGCAAGTCAATGCAGCCTTGATTTAAATCCACTGATTGAGGGATTTTCCTAGGAACTCCTGAGGAAATTACCTGGAAGAATCAGTTTCAAGGGTAAAAGGGGGTGCAGGCATTTAAGGTGAACCTTCACCTAGTTCACTTCTTCGTTCCTTGGCCATTTCCCCAACTTTTCTGAGTGTCTGCCGTGTGCCCAGCCCTGGAAGGAAGCTGACCACAAGCATGGTGCTGTTTGCTGGAATTCAGGGCCTTGAGCTTTAAGAGACTTTTGGGCTCATCTAGTTCAGTTCACTCACTTTATAGATGAAGGATCTAGGTTCAAGTTGAATTCTTTGCCTGGGCTCACGGGAGTGAAGAGCCCAGAGGGAGGGATGTGCTGACCACCTCGCTGTGCGGCCTGCGCCCAAGGACTTCTCTTGCAAGTGAGCTCAGGGAAGCTCTGAATTGGAAAGCATTATTTTCTGTATTAAGATCACTAATTTGCGAGCTGATGCACAGCCTCACGTCTATAGCTGCAATCCACCATCACCTTAAGAGTCCTGTGGAAATGAAACCCAGCGAAGCAGGCTGGTTCCCCAAAATGTATTTATTCCTCCCTGACCCCAATTGACCAACATGGAGAAGTGTTTTTTTCTTTTTACTATTTTTATTTTACACTATAAAAAAAAATGACGACAGCCAGTAACATACTGCTTTTCTTCACATTCATATGGATTTTAGGAAATTATTGCCTTTTCCCCTGGAGAAATAACCTACAGATAAAAAACAAAAATAGTAGTACCACACTGCAAAACCTACAAATCCTAGAAGTTAACAGCTTAAAGACAACCTCCAGGGGTAGGGGAAAAAAACCAAGTGTCACACGAGACAAGACAATCACATATAAGGACAGCAAGCTGGGGAAAAGACCACATCCATGACACTGACCCAGACAGTAGGTACCCTTTTCCTCCTTGCACCCACTGCCACCACCTCAAACGGGTGATTTTTGGCCTATGGTCTAAAGAACTCTCTTCAAAATGACACAAGAGTTGCTTTGAGTAGAGGTGTAACAAGAAAGGTTCAAGTATGAGTAAGAGTCATGCCAAAATCCAAAGTCAGGGAAGAGCCCACAGTGAAAAGGCAAACCCAGAAGTGTCAACATCTTGCTACGTCAACAAATTGCCTCCGTGGGACCCAAGAGGGAATCTCAAAAAGACATAAGGGTTGAAATCAGCATATATATCGGGTCTCTACAAACCCTGTAGGGTTACTCTCCTGACTACATGATCAGCTTATTCCCTGAAGCGACAGAGACAGATACGGAGACTGCCAAAGTTAAAAAAGTAAGGTGGAAATTGTGCTTCCTTCAGAATGAATTGGCTTCTTCACTGCCTTTTCTCCCGGTCTGGCAACTGCTCTCTCCCATGTTGCTGCAGGTGTTTATTGCCTTATGTTTGAAATGAAAAGGCGAACTTTGAGGTGTCAGGACTGGGCAGTCCTGAGAGGGCAGGGGGTCTGGAAGTACAGTAGTCAGCACAGGCTGTGCTCTCATAATGGCTTGGCCTTCCTTCGGTCCCGAGAGCCTATCCCCGAGGTCAGTCTGAAGTTTGTTTGCAAGCCTGGTGACCCCTCGCTATCCATCCCACTGGGGCAGCAGGACAGAGGGGGGGTCTTCAGTATTGCACAGGTATGAAATGTCCACGAGTTTAAAAAACAAAATCACAGTTGTTCTTGGGGCTGGGTGGGTTCCCACATCCAGTTTTAGCAGGATGTGGCTGTGGCCATGGGGCTCCTGCTGAGGTCTGAGACCGTTGAGTGCGTGGGCACTGGCGCCAGCACCGAGGTAGGGAATGTGTAGTAGGGACCCTGCACGTCAGGGCTCAGTGTCTGCAAATGGGCCACGAACGAAGAGCTGGCTGCCTCCCCTTGGCAGGAGGGAGCCTGGGGGGTGGGCGTGGAAGGCAGGATCTCAGATTCATACTGCAGGAGCTGGCCCATGAAGCCAAAGTTGGGCGAGACCACACTTCTCCTCTGCTTGACATAATCGAAGGCGTCCTTCAGGCGAAACTGCCTGGTCTTCATGAGGTAAGCCATGCAGATGGTGGGTGAACGGGAGATCCCAGCCTCACAGTGGACCAGGACCTTGCCTCCCTTTTCCCTGACACAGTCTGGAATGAAAAAAAGACAGTGGGAGCTGGGATTAGAACCCAAAGGCAACACCAAACACAAGAATTAAACACAAAAGTGACCTACTTCTCAAACTATCGTGCCTGCTCAACAGCTGTGGTTTTACACCAGACTTCTGCCAGTCTTTAATTCCCACTGGTGAGGACAGAGCTTCTGGGGCCCTACCAATGTTTTTCCCCATGTAGGACCTTTCTAATCCTTAGAGCTGCTTCCCAGTACTCCATGATACTTGCACAGATTCTATCAGTGAAGGTTCAAGACCTGGAGTAATCCCTTCTTGGAGATGCCATCTTAACACGGATGGGTTTCAAGAGGGCATTGGGAAAGCCTTGAAATTGCATGCCAATTTTCATAGGGTATAAACATTTTTCTGAGTGGGTCCCAGGCTCAAAGAGTGACTTAGAGAAGGAATTCCTGCCTCTCGGGGTCTGAGTGTAAAGGTGATGATCTAGTAGTCCTCATCTTGGTAGATGCCTTCTGGCCTCCCCAGGCACCCTGTCTGGCTCTGCAAGGGCGGGATGCTTGGCTCGGCTCCCAAGGTTCCCACTACCAAACATACAATATATAGTGCATAGCCACTAATTACAGCCCTGGCTAAGTGACGCTTACTAGAGGGATAAAAATGGTTTTTCGCAAACTCCATCTTGCACAACAATGGGAGTCACTGCTGTAAAGCTACCACCATCAGTTAGCATTCTTTAGCTCAATGACAAAAGGGAGGGTGCTCTCCTTTTCTGTTCCACCCCTGCCCCTAAAAGAGCTACAACTGTTAAACATGGGAAGGGGTAAAAGGTTAAACATATATACACATCAAATAAAAATAAAGCCCACTAAAAATAGTCTTTCCAAGCCCCTCTCTTGCTACTAAAGAAACAATTACATCACAGGAAGTTGGACGTACGTGGCACTGTGCAAAGCCATGATATGCAAACACATTGAAGATTTTGAAGGGCAAGTCAAAAGCCCTCTCACCCACCTCACTCCTCAAATTGAAGTTTACAAATGAATCTGCAAGATCTAAAAGATCAAGTTTCTGAGGCGTCAGAGAGGAAACCTGGAGTTTCCCCATCTAAGGACACCTCACTGTAGCTCATTAGAGGTGCCCCCAATTTAGTCTCTGACTGGAAAGGAAAAAAAAAAAGGCCCTGTCAATTAGTTCAAAGGGGACCCCAAATCCCCTAGGATTACTGGGTTGTGACTCTCATTTCCCTTTGCTCCTCTGTTGGCCTCCTTGTAGTCAAGCTTTTAATTGGCCCAATGCCACATCCAAAAAAGCCAAAGGCTTAGAATGCATTGCTTCTGGATCCCACTCTACCCCTCTGGGCTTGCCTTCCACGTGGCCCTCCTGCGGTATTCCCCTGGGAAGGGGTCAGGGCGTGGCCCAGCGTCAGTCCCTCCTTCCATCAGCAGGGCTAGGAGACTGGGGAAAAGCATCCTGTGCTTTCAAAACACTGTGGGTGTGTGTGTTTGTGTATATAAACTGACACAATACACACACAGGATGGGGAGGGAGCCTTCTGAGAAATGGATGGGGGCGGGTTTCATGACCTCACTGAGTAGCTATCAGGCTGAGAAGGGCAAGGCATTCCCAGGGACAGGGGAAACAAGTCAAGGCTTTCCCACCCTGAGCCCATCATTTAGGCTGCTTCTCTGAGACTCCAAGGGAACCATCTCAGCTGAGAGGCTCAGGGGACTAGGAGGACAGGCTTGGCCTTTTGCCTCTGGTGAGTTTCTGGATGGTTTCTCATGGAGCAGAAATCGTGTGTGACAAGCTGAGAGGGCCATCATGTGGCTGAAGGGGGCGCTTTAATTACTACCTGCACTAAGTAATTATTGCTGTGCCCTACACCTGCCTTTTCCCCTCCAAGATCCTTCAGAACAAGATACTGGAAAATCACTTCTCAGCTGCAACAGCTATGCATGTTCAAGGGAAAGAAGGACTCTGGAAAGGAAGGCACGATCACAAGGTTGGGGAGTGGTGCTTGCAAATTTTAGACAAAAAAAAGTCAACCCAGCCCCCAGGGAGAGGGACTGGGGAAAAGAGATGTCAAACGAGAGAACAGTCAAGCTACACTGAGGAGCTGGAAGCCCAGGCCCAAGGGGACAGGCAGAGGGAACAGAGGTTACCAGGCCTACACAACAGAGTAAATGGTAACTGCCTCACAGAACAGAGAAAGGATGCAAAAGATGCCAACTTCTCAGAGCACTAAGCATGGAGCTTGAGGCAAGTGCTAGCTTTAATCCGAAATTAGCTGGAAATGAAAAACAAACTGCCCCCAAAGCAGTTTGCTAAAAACTGTGGAAAGCTGCTGGGGCTCTCGGGGCTTACTGCGTAAGTAGTGCTCTCTCAATCCTTCTGTTTGCTTTTAAAAATATCCCAACCTACGTAGAAACACAGTTAGGATGATTCCTCCTCTCCCCTGTTTCTCTTGCGTGGAGATTTCACACGGACACGCTGTGCTCCTGCCCAGCTAGAAACTATAACAAGAGTGGCAGTGAGTATTGCCATAAAATTGTGTTAATTTATCTTGCAAATTAAAGTTCCTATTAATAGCAACTCGAGTCTCCCCCTCTGCCTTTTGGGTGGCTGCATCCCTTCTTGGCTCCAACTCTTGGTGGCTGCACACAGAAGACACTTTTCTTCTCCGTGAAGGTAGCCTCCATCAGTACATCAAAATCCAAGAACTTGTGTCCCTACGATGCGCCCAGAACAGCGGAGGGGGGAATGGCCGAACCTACCAATGAAGTCTATTGCTTCTTGAAAGTGGGAGCTAATGTCAGCCGTGTGGCTGTCTTCCACCGGAATCCATTTGTAGTGTAGGTGGCTTGTGCAGGCCTCGGAGGTCCGCCGTGAGACATTCAGCAGGGCAGTGATGTGCAGGTTAGCGAGGAACTCGCACTCGGATGCATGGTAGGCACTTCCAAGGTAGAGGAACGGAAGGATTTCAACTGGGCCGCCCTGGAAGCAGGGGCAAAGGACAAGCAGGAAATATTGGATTAGCCTGCTCACTCTGGAAAGGAAACAAAACAACCCTGACCTATTTGTTTTAAGGTGGGAGGTTCCCTTCCTGGTTCCAGGTAGAGACTTTAGAGTCAAGGCCGCTGAACCAAGAGTGTGGGTGAAGCCTCCATCCTGGCAGACTCTCTACCCTACATTACTGCTGGTGACTCAGTGACAGCAAAGCCCACATGGCAAAGATTTTCATTTTCTTATACACAGCGAGGCGGTAGGAACTGCCAGCAGCCTTCCTGTGCTGGTGAAGATGAGAAGCAATGGGAGGCACGGGGGGAATGGAGACGCATGTTTTCCAAGTTCTAGCAGACCCGAGAGCACCAGGGCAAGCCCCTCAACTTGGGGCAGCCTTGGTTTCTTTCTAGATAAAATGGAAAAGGGTCCAACAAGGTGAGCTCCCCTCCCTTACAGTTCTGATGTTTTATATAGTGTTTTTCATCAAACCCAGGACGCTGTTTTGGTTTTTTATTAAATTTATTGGAGTGACACTGGTTAACAGGATCATGTAGGTTTCAGGTGTGGATTTCTATGCTACAAGATCTGTATACTGCACTGTGTGCTCACCACCCAAAGTCATGTCATCTTCCATCATCATATATTATGCCCTCTTCACCTCCCACCCCTCCACTCCCTAGGACACTGTTGATCGTAAGATGCACCAGATTTCAGAGATGTTAAAANAGCTACACTGAGGAGCTGGAAGCCCAGGCCCAAGGGGACAGGCAGAGGGAACAGAGGTTACCAGGCCTACACAACAGAGTAAATGGTAACTGCCTCACAGAACAGAGAAAGGATGCAAAAGATGCCAACTTCTCAGAGCACTAAGCATGGAGCTTGAGGCAAGTGCTAGCTTTAATCCGAAATTAGCTGGAAATGAAAAACAAACTGCCCCCAAAGCAGTTTGCTAAAAACTGTGGAAAGCTGCTGGGGCTCTCGGGGCTTACTGCGTAAGTAGTGCTCTCTCAATCCTTCTGTTTGCTTTTAAAAATATCCCAACCTACGTAGAAACACAGTTAGGATGATTCCTCCTCTCCCCTGTTTCTCTTGCGTGGAGATTTCACACGGACACGCTGTGCTCCTGCCCAGCTAGAAACCATAACAAGAGTGGCAGTGAGTATTGCCATAAAATTGTGTTAATTTATCTTGCAAATTAAAGTTCCTATTAATAGCAACTCGAGTCTCCCCCTCTGCCTTTTGGGTGGCTGCATCCCTTCTTGGCTCCAACTCTTGGTGGCTGCACACAGAAGACACTTTTCTTCTCCGTGAAGGTAGCCTCCATCAGTACATCAAAATCCAAGAACTTGTGTCCCTACGATGCGCCCAGAACAGCGGAGGGGGGAATGGCCGAACCTACCAATGAAGTCTATTGCTTCTTGAAAGTGGGAGCTAATGTCAGCCGTGTGGCTGTCTTCCACCGGAATCCATTTGTAGTGTAGGTGGCTTGTGCAGGCCTCGGAGGTCCGCCGTGAGACATTCAGCAGGGCAGTGATGTGCAGGTTAGCGAGGAACTCGCACTCGGATGCATGGTAGGCACTTCCAAGGTAGAGGAACGGAAGGATTTCAACTGGGCCGCCCTGGAAGCAGGGGCAAAGGACAAGCAGGAAATATTGGATTAGCCTGCTCACTCTGGAAAGGAAACAAAACAACCCTGACCTATTTGTTTTAAGGTGGGAGGTTCCCTTCCTGGTTCCAGGTAGAGACTTTAGAGTCAAGGCCGCTGAACCAAGAGTGTGGGTGAAGCCTCCATCCTGGCAGACTCTCTACCCTACATTACTGCTGGTGACTCAGTGACAGCAAAGCCCACATGGCAAAGATTTTCATTTTCTTATACACAGCGAGGCGGTAGGAACTGCCAGCAGCCTTCCTGTGCTGGTGAAGATGAGAAGCAATGGGAGGCACGGGGGGAATGGAGACGCATGTTTTCCAAGTTCTAGCAGACCCGAGAGCACCAGGGCAAGCCCCTCAACTTGGGGCAGCCTTGGTTTCTTTCTAGATAAAATGGAAAAGGGTCCAACAAGGTGAGCTCCCCTCCCTTACAGTTCTGATGTTTTATATAGTGTTTTTCATCAAACCCAGGACGCTGTTTTGGTTTTTTATTAAATTTATTGGAGTGACACTGGTTAACAGGATCATGTAGGTTTCAGGTGTGGATTTCTATGCTACAAGATCTGTATACTGCACTGTGTGCTCACCACCCAAAGTCATGTCATCTTCCATCATCATATATTATGCCCTCTTCACCTCCCACCCCTCCACTCCCTAGGACACTGTTGATCGTAAGATGCACCAGATTTCAGAGATGTTAAAATGTGCTCCCTCGTCCTCTAAAATGTATGCTTCTTAGAAGTGAAAACACCCACTGTCTACCCAGAAGTCTCAGGCAAAGTAAAGCTGTTAGGCCGTGCGCAGAGGGGCTCCCCCCACCCCTGACCTTCATGTGGAGCGGGAGGCTTTGGTGAGATGCGTATACCCTCCTCCCTTTGGGAGACCACCCACACACCAGGATCCTAGGTAAGGAGGATCCCCACAGGAACCAGAGACCACCTACTCAGAGGCAAAGCTAAAAAGAATTGCTAGCTGGTCAGGCTCTGGCAGTCTTAATGTTTCCAGGATCCCATCTCCTTTCCTCCTTTTGCTGCTGTTGGCAGCTGCTGGCTCAGAGGCATCCCACTCTGGTTCCTGGGTTTCACTGACCTAGACAAGGGCCCCAGCACCCATTCTTGCACCCATCCACAGCTGGGAGGGCCAAGGCTCCCTGCTGGATATTTAAGTTTAGTGGCCAGCCTCCTGGGCACAGAGATAAATACTCTCAGTGTTAAAAAAGAAAGGAAAGAGAGAGAGAGGTGGGGGGGAGGGAGAGAGGGAAAAGCCAGTAATAGTTTGAACAATGGGAGCCCCTGGAGATTTAGAGGGAAACACTGGGCTGCAGGGACAGTGGCTGTGTCTCTGGGAGCCTTTTCCCTATCATCCATCCGCTTCCTGTGTTTCCATTTCCTGTCCGGGAACAAGAGTAGAATGGAAACTCTGCCAGACTCACAATAGGAAAAGGGGCACGGGACAAGGGCCAGCAGCAGGCAGTTCTCACATTATTCCGCATGTGGTGTTTGCTTTTTCCTTCCCAAGAAGCCAAGTGTTTAAGCAAAGACCAGTTTGGCCACTTGAAAGTTCTAGAGCTGTGATTTTCAACTGGCGTGGCGCAAGAATTTTTAAAACCTGTACTACCTGACTATTTAGTCAGGGGCACTGACCTCTTTTCCCTTAGATTGTCAAATGAAAAATGACAATAGCCAACCCAACAATAGCAGTCTGGTATGAATGCCCTGTCTTGAACCATAAGTATATAGGTCATATAATAGAGCTGCATCTTATTGGTCACATCACATAAGGTTGCATCTGACTGGTTAATTCTTGGTATCAGAAATCATTATATACAAATATAGGCACCTGATTTTTTTTTTAAAAGTCACTTTGGAGCAAAAAGAGTAATTACTACTATTATTATTATTATTTTTGGTAAGTCAATCAAAATTATACCAATTTTTTTTGTCAGATCAGCAAAAAATATATTTTTTGTGTGCCACAGAATTTTAGTAATTAGTTTGTGTGTGCCATGAGATGAAAAAGGTTGAAATTGCTGTTATAGAGGATTTTGCAAAAGGTAGTAATAGTAACCACCACTATTCTTATTACGCCTTACTATGGCGGGCGCCTGGGTTTAACACTTAGATGTACCTATGGAGACCTCATCCTCACTTCAGTGCCTAGCAAATGCTAACACACCAGGCTCAGGATCCTATCCAATTTCTTCTGGAGCTTAGCCCAACACACTCCTGAAACCATGTTTCTTTCCTTTTCTGAATCTTCTGTTTAGACTCAAGAGGAAGAAACCAAGGGCCTACAGAAACCCCAAAGGTTAACATGACCTCGCCTGGCTTCTAAGAAGCAGCGCTAGGGGGTTCCCCAGATGAACCTTGAGACATAGCAGGGCCTCCCCGGTCGTGGCTCGGCCAAAGGTCTGTACGGCTTTTACAACACCCTGCCAATTCTTGTTTCTCTTTCATTTTCTGAGAAACAAGGGGGAAAACACAACCCAAACAACAAACAAAAATAGAAACCCAGCTAAGCCGGATGCCCATGGCCTGTAAGGTGAGGGTTCATCATAGAGTGTATTTTTAATAAAGGAAAACAAACAAAATAAAAACCCTGGCACCTCTCCAAGCTAATAGGCTTCCTGACCAACGATCCCATCCAAGGAAAGGTCACCTGGCTTTACTTGGAATTTATCCCCAGGGCAAAACTCTGCTCATGTGGGCAGCTGGCATGTTAGGCAGCATCTGAAACCTTCCTTCTTATGATTTTGGCTATGTTCTTATTTGGAGGGAAAATTTTGAAAAAATCCTCCCACCAAGTCAGGTGACTAGAAGAGAACAGCCCATTTCCAAAGGTGTGTGGAAAACAGAACAAGGTCCTGAAAATAAGCAGAAAAGGGAGTTAAGAGAAGGGGGTTCTGGGTCTAGTGCTGCCATGGACCAAGCTGCAGGATTCTTTGAAAATCTATCATCTCACCAGCCACGAACAGTTTTTCCCTCTGTAAAATGGGGAGGCAGGTTTTGATCTGTGGTTTCTGCCAGATTTGGGTCCTTGCCTGCTTTTCCTCACCCTCCTCCCTTTTACTTCATGTTTCGTTTATTGAATTGTCACAAAGTACAATTTAAAAAAAATTTTGTTGTTAATCTTCACCCGAGGACATTTTTTCCATTGCTTTTCAGAGAGAGAGCGGGAGGGAGAGAGAGAGAAGGAAGAAAGAGAGAGGGGAGAGAGAAACATCAATGTGAGACACCTGGACCTGTTGCTTCCCTGGGGCGGAGAGCGAAACCCAAAACCCAGGTATGTGCCCTTGACCTTGACCGGGAATAGAACCTGTGACACTTTGGTCTGCAAGCCAACATTCTAACCACTAAGCCACACCGGCCAGGGCACAAAGTACAATTTTTGAAGGAAAACCCCCCCCAGGTGTTTGTAGAAACACGCAATGCTCTAATATGTCTTGATCTCTTGTTCCGGAAGTTTTGGAATTATAAGCATCAGAAACCCTTAGACGAGCCTGCTTAGCAATCCAAATTGTAGTTTCTCTACAACCCTCCTTCTACCTCTCTCCACCCCCATCTCATTTCAGTTGAAATACCAGAACCTTGAAATACCTTGACAGGTACTGGGACAGTGAGCAGAAACTATAGAGCATGAACAATTACAAAGATCATCAACACAGGAAGCCTGAAAGTCAGCTCTGAAACATCTTCAGGGAAACCTAAACCAGTATTTCGAAGCCTCTGCACCTCCCAGGCCAGCTAATAATAATACATTGTTCACTTCCTCTTTTCTCCAGAAACTGTCAAGCATCCTGTGGCTCGTTTGCTCTTGTCAGCTTGTTGGCTGGAAGGCAGCCCATTTACTCTTGGATGGAAACTCAAGTTGGCAAGCAGCAGAGGCTCTCTAAGCTAGAAGGCTCTGCCAAAACTCTGATCCACAAAACAAGCAACAAGGGTTGCTGAGCAGAGAAAGAGTCAGGGTGCTGAGGAGGCAACGGGGGCCAGGAGCCGCTATAGCACTTCCACACTGTGTACCTGGTCATAAGCTGGCCTGCAGCTGATGCTAAGCACTGGTTTCCCACACTGGCTGATGAGGGCTCTCTCCGTTTCAATCTTCTCTTGTGAAATGGGTTCTATGTCCACGCAACAATCAGGATATTCCGAGTAGAAAGTCTCATATCCCCCTACAAGAAAAAAAAAGACAGACATAAGCATTGATTTCCCAGGCTGTCAGAAAATGCCCACAATTAATCAATACCCTTAGTGTGGAATAGTCAAAAATATTAGGCTAATATAGATTTTGGTCATATAAAAAAAATGAGCCAAATCAACTAATAGCTTTATAGAATTGGGATCTACACACACACTCTGTCTCTCTTCTAAAAAGCTATAGTTCAGAGAGGCAATGATTAACTTTTGTGTCTATCAGAAGCAGCTTAAACTGTGAAAGGAAATATATCGGACATCTGGCAAATATTAACCAAATCCCTCCAGAAAACAAAAGCTATTTTCTCTCTTGTTTATCTAAAATGCAGGTGTGATTATGCAGAATTTCATTCCTTTTCAAGAAGAAAGAAACTCCTAAACTGGTCTGTGTCTTCCCTAGCCCATCAGCTCTAAACTGGCTTATAGAGGAAACCCCTCCATTCATAAGGGAATGGGGGCTAACATAAGGTTTAAACTCAGGGCAATAAAACAGCCCTGCCCTTTCTCACTCCTAAGGTGCTAAGAACACAGCTGACAATTTTCTCCATAGGTGCAATTTAGAGTAATCAATCTAGGTTATTACCTTCCAAACCAAACTGGAGGAATGGGGCCTTCGGAACTTAAACCTCAGCCCCCATAAATAAAAACTGTCCCCTTGATTAACACCCACCCTCCCTTTATATTTCCTTATTACCCTTTCCTCCTGAACTTTCTCTGTCCCCACAAGCTCTCAAACTGATAAGTCAACTGCTGTACTAACAGGTACGATACTGTAAATATTCTTAATATTACACTTAAACTTCTCAAATAGATCGCTTAAGGTAAAAAAGTACCTCTGACCAAGTCACAGAAATGTGAGTATATATATATACAAATAAGCCTTTTCAGGCCAGTACACTCAGTGGGGAAGAACCAAGTACAATACGGCCTCCGAAGTCTCAGAATGCCGAGGGCTGCTGGGCGAACAGGCCGGCCTTGCTTGGGGAAACCCTTTGCTTCCAATCCAAAGGCAATTCCTAAGGCCTCCAGAAAACCGGCTTCTGTCTTTTTCTGGCCTAGAAAATTCACTTGGGGGTCAAATCATCAATTAAAAGTATGCATTCTGAGGCCATGTATTTTCCAAAAGTCTCCCTTTTTCTTTCTTTTTTTGTTTTTGGTGGTGTGACGGCCTCACAGTGGAGCACATGGTGGCTTTTTTAAATCCCTGCAGTAGACAAATGGTTAATGGATTACATGGCAGTCTCCAGCTCCCTTCCCAGAAGCCTCAGCCAATTCCGTAGCCAATTCCTCGAATGAGTCATCTTGCCATTACTGCTTCCTCTCAGGTTGCTGGAACTGCCCCGGCCCCCATTTAGCACACCCAAATCTCCCCTGTAGTCAGTCACCTCAATAAATAGCCCACTGGGCATCACCAGGTGAGCTTCTAGTCCTCCACAATGACCATGTTATGGGTCATGATGACAGGAGGCCATGTCAGAGGAAAACAGAGGTAGGTATTCATGGCTTAGTGCACCCCTCCCCCCAACCATAGCTCTGGCCCCCCTCTCCCCTAGGAGACAGAGAAGCCAGACTTACACTGACACGGAGTTTCCTTGGAAGAGGAAGTTAGTAAGTCACTTCCTGTGCCTCAACATTTTGGGTTCCAGGAGACAAACTGAGTGATATGGGATGGGAATCTGGATTAAGAACGGCCCAGGCCCCCCCAGACTTCAGGAGGGGCTTGAGAAAGAGAAGCCTTCAGGCCACCCCATCTCTTGGCTTTAAATAGAGCACTTAAGAGTTGGCTGCCAGGACTGAAAGGAGGTGCGGGTGTAGGTTGGGTCCTGACTGCCTGTTGACAAAATAAGACAGCAGACAATGAGTCTCAGTGTAGCTAAGGGACAGATAAACAGGGCCCTGCCTCTTCAAACTGGGGTGAGGAGGAGTCCTCCAGATTAGATGGTCTCGGTCTTTCACCCACTCCCATCAGAGGCGTGGAGAGACAGAACATTCCTCTCTGGTGCCTCACTTGAGAGCCTTGGCAATTCTTTTGGCTGCTTCAACCCTCTTCAGAGTGATTCTGTGTTCGATCACCATCGCATTACCAGGGGAGCAGAGCAAAGTGCACGGACACTATATATAAATATGCACTGACAGGACCATTTGGTCATCAACACATGACCGAATGTGGGTTTTCTTTGGGGGGCGGGGGGAGATTAAGGGATGTAAAAGGCATTGTCTCCCCAAAATCTGAGATGCCACTGGATTAAACCTGAGCTCATATGTGGACATGAGTTAGGTAAGGAAATAAAAATTTTCTTTAGCAACAACTTAAAAGTTTAGGGGAAAATATCAAGCAATTTTTCCTGAAATTTAAAATACATATAACTTTCAACCTGCCACATCTTTAAATTTACTGATAGTGCACATGCAAAAGCATTTGGATAAAAATACATTCTACCACACTGTTTCAAATGAGGCTGGCAGCAACCTATTTGCTATCACCAGGGGACTGGTTAAAAAAGTGAACCAGACATGTATGCTCTGATATGAACAAATCTCCCAAGATCTCATTGGGTAAAAGAGGCAGGAACAGGAAATATACAAAATCGTTATATTTTTAAAAGAAGCTCATGGAAAATTAACTTTAAAGATGAACAAGAAATAGCTGATGGTTGTCTCTGGGGAGTGGAACTGGGTTCTAAGGGTGTCAGGAGATCCAGTGTTCATCGCACAGCCTTTGTGCTGTTCAAATTTTTACCTATGTATGTTACTTTCATTTAAAAAAATTTTTTAAACGTTAATTTTTCTGAAATGTAAGTCTATAGAGCTGCCTACTTCCTGTGGCAATAACCTCTAAAACTGTCAGCATGGCCCTCCTGGAGAGGGGTGGGGAGCAGAAGTAGGACCAGGAAGGGTTTCCTGGAACACATCTTTCATGGTAGTGGGGAGGAGGCAGCTTTTCCTGTACTCACTGCTAAGAACAGGAGACAAAAACCACATCAGGAAGAGAAATCAGGAGCCATGTGTGAAACGTTTGCAAGCTTGGGGGGCATCCCTCCATCGCCTGGGGGCTGAGGCTGGCTGGTAAAGGGAGATCACCATCATCTGCCTTTGCCATCTCCCTAACAGGAACCAACAGGGGATGGTCTGCTAGAGGTGTTAATAGAGGTGGGAGCTGTCCTGGTGCCTCAGGAATCTTCTGGCCTGGAGGTGTGAGAAATTCCCCAAACTGCAAGGTTCTAAAGCAGGGCCCTGACTCTCAGCTCACTGCAGGGAGTTCTGAACCGCATCACTGTTCCATCCCAAGGCCTCTGCGTCGGGGTTGGCAGGGCTTGGGGGCGTGGTCCGGCCTGAGCCCTCAGTTCTCCACTGGGGGCTGGTTCCTCCACACATCTGAGGTTACAAAGGACTCAACTACAAGGCGGGAGGGGGCAGTCATAAGAAATGACCCAGAAATCGATGCTCTGGCGTTTGGAGTTAATCACCCGCCCACCACCGGAAGTCAAAGTCATCTCCCCAGCAGGTGTAACGGGCAGGCTGGTGGCACAGCTTCTGGGGTCTCAAACCAAAGGGCAGCAGAAGCCCCTTCACCACCACCCTGCGGCACCTCTCTGGGTCCTGGCTCGCCGGCCGCGCAGCGTGGCCCAGGACCCAGGCTGATCCCCGGAGAGCGAGGGAGGGAGGAGGGGGGAGGTGAAAAGGGTGCGAAAGGCGGTTAGCCCCAGATTAAGCTAGAGAAAGGCCTGGGAGGGGAAAGGGGGAAGCCGGAGGAAAACAATAAAAAGCAATAAAACGAAATGGAAAGGAAGGGGAGGGACTCGCCAGGGTCAAAAAGGCAAGAGGGGTCGACGTAGGCACAGCCTAAAGTATGTTAATTGTCCGGGCGGGAGGAATGAGGACTCCCCGGCGCCACGCTCCTGGGGGGGGTCGCGACCTGCTGATTCCGCCAGATACGTCCGTCGGGAGGGCTCGGGCAGGCCCCGGGAGGCCGGCGAAGCCCGCTCCTGGAGCCAGGGCCCGCGCCCAGCACCTGCCCGCGGCCCCCG